TGTATACCTCCCCCAACATAGTCCTATGATTAAAAGCATTTTTAAACCTTTTATTATGGACGATTTCAAAGGGAAGGGAAGCAGTAATGTAATGAACACTTTAGACTCATTACCCAGCGTCAACAGTTAGCAACATTCGGCCCTTCTAGTTCCATCTATACTTTTGTCCTGCACTCCCCACCGTGTGGCCATATATAAAGCCAGTTGGTTTTAGAATCACATGTTTGCACTCCTCACTGCATGGAAGAAGGCTTCGGGACTGTAGCAAAGGTGCTGAATGTGTTCTTGTTCAAGAAGGAACATGGTATAGTTATTCTTGGACCGTGGCCTTCTGAACCAAGTGAAGACAACACTGGCCTGTAAAAATGTGTACTTGTTAAACTTTTCTAAGAATAGCATGGACAGGGTGACAGAGAAAGGTAGAGGCCATTCTCTAATGACATGATTGTGTGGTATTGCTATCGTTGACACTAACCTCTCCAACAGAGATTTGGAACATATCCCGAAATTCATTTGAGACTATCTCATATGGAAAAATAGCACCACACTAATCACATCACAGTTTTGTTTGTAAAGGAACTAAAGGATGCAATTAATCCCTAAAGTCCAGCTGCTTAAAATGTCCTTAAGTTTGGTTTGTGAGCCATTTCTTTGTCTACTTCTGTCTTTTTCATTTGTTTCACATAGACCGTAATGACATTTCAGCAAGAATAATATAATAGTTCACAGTTCCGAGTGCTGTTCCAAAAGTTTTTATGTAGATTCTCATTTAGTGCTTGGAGTAAGCCATTTCACAGACAAGGAAACTGGAGCTCAGAGGTTATTTAGGAAGTCATGTTTAGTGCTTGAGGTGAAGTGGGCAGAGAAGGAGGCCTTTTAGGGAATGGCATTTAAGTTGAGCTGGCTGTGCGGTGATCTAAGAGCACGGCACATACAAAGGCCCTCAGGTAAAGAAGCAGAAAGGGGTCTAGCGGAAGTGTGGTGAGCCTGCTAAGATGAGTGGGTGAGATGGTCGTCTGGCGATAGAATGTTGGCTCCTGAGAACAAGGCCCCTGTCTGCGGTCAGTGCTGTAGCCACATTGTGGCGCCCACTGCCTGGTATACAGTAGGTGCTCCGTATTGTTGGATTGAGACTAGATAGAAGGTTCAGGCCCGTTTATTTGGGACACACAGCCTAAACCGTAACCCTCAACCTAGATGTCTGCAAGTCTTAGGCTTGTTCCCCCACCTGTCACTTGTGGCCTCTTGACAAACACTGGATCTGGTCCATTTGGGCCAATGTCTGGTTCTCCAGGTGACCCATAGCAGATGAGAAGCTGCCATAAAGCCGTGTATTTCTTTTCTTTTTTTTTTTTTTTTTAAAGATTTTATTTATTTTTTTGGCAGACAGAGATCACAAGTAGACAGAGAGGCAGGCAGAGAGAGAGAGAGGAGGAAGCAGGCTCCCTGGTAAGCAGAGAGCCCGATGCGGGGCTCGATCCCAGGACCCTGGGATCATGACCTGAGCCGAAGGCAGAGGCTTTAACCCACTGAGCCACCCAGGCGCCCCAAGCCGTGTATTTCTGTTCATGGCCCAACCACCCCTGCCTTTGTTAAGTGTTGGGAGATGTCAGAAGATCTCTGGGGTTCCCTTCAGTGAGGCTGGTCCTTACCGAGCCTTAGTCTTTCCTTGGTTCCCCAAAATGGAGAAGAAATCTTTCTTTGAGTGATTTTGGTCTGAGTCCTTCTGTGGTTGGTAATCTTTAAGAAAGGACAATAGTCTTTGACTCCTTGCCTTGAAGAGGGTACCTGCCCAGCAGCTTTTTTTTTTTTTTCTTTTAAAGATTTTATTTATTTATTTGACAAACAGGGATCACAAGTAGGCAGAGAGGCAGGCAGAGAGAGAGGGGGAAGCAGGCTCCCTGCTGAGCAGAGATCCCGACTCGGGGCTCGATCCCAGGACCCTGGGATCATGACCTGAGCCAAAAGCAGAGGCTTTAACCCACTGAGCCACCCAGGCACCCCTGCCCAGCAGCTTTTTAAAGTTGATCTCTGTGGGAAGGATGAGAAAGGAGACTATTCTCTCCTTATGATCATCTGAACATTCACAGTTCTGCCTCCTCCGGTCCCCTTCCTAATCTACTCTTAAGCCGAGATAATTATGATATAGCCTTCCTGTTCTGTCCCCAGTCTCACTGGAGTATTATCTGGGGCCCATTGGATCACGTGGGGTGGTTTTTATTATGGCATTTAACATTTAACATTTTATTATGGCATATTAACATTATGGACCCAGGTAGGATGCTTGAAGTATCAGATTGTCCGCAGGAGCATGGGAGCCAGACCTAAGGCTGAGCCCTGCCTCTACTGTCTGCATGCTGTGTGAACTTGGCCAAGTTGCCTCACTCCTCTGAGTCAGTCTCCCCCACTCGTAAAACAAAGGCATTAGCTACTTACTGTGAAGATTAAATGAGGTAATACATGTAAATATTAGTTTTGTAGGCATTTTTCTCTTCTGTCCTCCACTTGATTACTTAATTCCTCATGGCCCTTAGGCTCTGTTTTTACATAGTTATTCCCAGTAAGGTGTTATTTCAAATCTTGATCATTAGTAAAACTTTACATACCCTCTGGCTTAAAACGGTGAGAATTCGTGTGATATAGTTATTTGTAATATTCCTTGTGTGCAGCCTCTGTGTAGTGACTTTATGGATGGTTGAAGTAAGTGACGTAAAAGGATGCTATTTGTCTTACTGGAGGGTTTTCAGTGTGTGTTTTCTGCTCTTCCTTTTCAGTACCCCTGAAGGAGAAGAAGCTCTTGGATGTGAAACTAGGAGAGCTGCCCAGCTGGATACTGATGCGGGATTTCACCCCTAAGGGCATTGCTGGCGCATTTCAAAGAGGTCAGAGCCACGTTTAAAAAAAGAACAAATTTCTGGGTCTTTTGGTCTCCCTTTTCCCTGAATTAATCGAGCAGTCAAGGCCTTGTCTCAGACCAGTATGTAGAGGAGGATAGGGTCAGATTGTTAGCCCCTGAAGCTCGGTGTTTGGTGACTGGCCCTATCAGAGGCTAGTTCTAAGATTAATTTTAGCCACGAAAATGTTTTCTGCTGCTTGGAATTGGCACCACTGCCATCATCTTAAAGAAATGTCTATGAGCATTTTTGTCATAAGATGTCTTAAAGAGGAGAATGAGTTTAAAGCATAGTGGACATTAGACCATAATGTAATGCTCATCCCCCTGTCAGGCAAAACTTCCAGGATGGATGTTTGAAATGATCTGTCCCTCAGGTCTGTGCATGGTCACATCAGTCCCATGGGGTCCCTGTCCTCATTCCAGGAATCAGAGACTCACATGAACCCACAGATGCTGTGTAGTCTCTGGCTTCAGGCCCCTCTGAGGCCTTTCCTTAGATTAGAATTCTCTGCCTTTTCCCTATACTTGGTGACAACAGTCCCTGACTTCATAGCTTCCCTCACTGCTATAAACCAGGGCCTTCTAGAATCATTTCAATCTTTGTCAGCCAAGCCACAAGCCCAAAAGAGGGCAGAAACTGTTTCCTCACTGGTGGGGGTACCTAGCAAAGAGATGATGGCACAAAGCCTTCTTCCCCAACAGGGGGAGACCTAGCCAGCCTCAGCCATGTGGCCTTTACTTAGGGTTGGATTTTTGGTCAGAATTAGGGTAAGGGGATCCCTAGGGCTGGACATGAGGGTGAGGTAGGATCAAAGGCTGGCAGGCTGAGCCAAGTCTGTTAAGGTGAAGGCCAGAGCATCAGGGTAGGATCCACGTGGGCCTAGTCCTGGGCTCCCAGGGCAAGACCCAAGGGGGACTGGGACTTTCCCGTAACCAGGCAGTGAATTGAGGGTGAGTGGCTTCAAGAGTCAGAACGGAACTGGGTCCCTGAATATAAGACAAGACTCGACTTTGCACCACATGAAGCATTCACAGCAAACAGTGGCCTCCTCTCGTGTTTGCAGGTTACTACCGGTATTACAACAAGTATGTCAATGTGAAGAAGGGGGGCGTCGCTGGGATTTCTATGGTGCTGGCAGCTTATGTGGTCTTCAACTACTTTCGTTGTTATAAGGAACTCAGTGAGTGTCTCTCTGGTCACCCCACCCTCTGGGTTTTCTCATTGCTGGGTGGGACTGGTTCGCTGTCAGGTTTACAAGTCCATTCTATGGCAGCTGAAAAATTGGGAGGGACTTATGAAAATATAGTATAGAGGATGCTATTTTAAGCGAGAAAATTGTGGCAAAGAAAAGACAGGAAAACTAACACGAAGCCAGATAAAGGTAATACTTAGGAAGCATTCTGTAAGGTGCTGCAGGCTCCGCTGAGGGTTGGTGGAAAATTTTGGCTTCATGTTCCTAGCAGCCAGTGCGAAGAGAGAAACAGGAGTGGTACAGTCTGGCGTCTGTGCTGTGTTCTGGAAAAGGGCAGCTTGTCCTGGGTCTGAGGCCCGAGAAGGGCTTATGGGTGGGAGATGGTGGCAGAGGGTCTGCAGCAGCCCCCACCGGTCAGAAAGCCAGGGTGATGTTGGCTCCGGAGGCCAGGCTCTCGGGGACTGGGTCTGAGCGTGTGTTCCTTCCGGGAAGAGGCTGGCTGGGCAGCAGATTGGCTCCTGGGGTGCTACCTCCACGTCTGCTCGTTCTGCTGAGAGCCTGGCAGGCAGGTTCTGGGTTATCTCCTGAAATTCTCGGGATGGCCTTCTCTCCCCCACCTGTCATCTTGCACTTTCACTACACCTTTAAAGAAACTCACCATCTTGCCTTTTTAACTTCAGAACACGAGCGGCTACGCAAGTACCACTGAAGAGGGCCCAGTGTGGAGGCACACGCGCGGCATTCCTGACCATGACCTTTGCTTGGCACCCTTGAATCCTTTCATATCCTAATTCAGAATTAACGTCCAATAAAAGATGACTGGTACTTGGACTGCTTGCCTGGTGTAGCCGTTTCCCTGCCCTATCTGAGCTTCTGCTGCAGTAGTTCCCAAAGGGCCATTCGTGTCCACAGCTCAGGCCTTTGAACCAGTGGGCTTCCGGACCGGTCCCTGCTCACAGGAGGTGGGCTGTCATCTAGTTGAGCCTGTGAAGTGCCTGGAGGGGTCGCCCTGCTCTTCGCACCTGGAGTGTTCTAAGCACTTGCGGCTTTTTGTCAGCTGATGCTTTTACATCAGAACAGAAGCCCCGAAGCCCCAATGCTTGAGAATGCTTGAGAACGCCTTCCCCTCCTCCACCTTGCTGCCAGGCTGCAGTGTTGTGGGCCCTCCTGCTAAGGAAGCTTCCTTGCCTGGGGGAGGATTCAGGGAAGCAAGGGAAAACACAGGCCCTGACAAGAGCTCACAACTGCCCCTGTATCCAGCTCCCCCCCAACCCCATCCTTACCCTTCATCAGAGGTCTTCCTTAAAGGGAAGTTAGAAACCAGTTCTGGGGTGTATGGTAAGAACAAACTGATGCTGTGGCTAATTATCTTGTAGAAGATCCGAATTTGAATAAGCAGGTATAATCCAGCATCTGAGATGACGTAAGAACCTCACTTGGCTGTTCCAAACAAGGCCAAAGCTTCCAGACTATCAGCTGCCAGTACAGAGTCCCTTCCCTCCGGGAGATGTATGTGTCGAAAGGGGACAAGGAAGCACCGGTATCAAAGCTTGGTGCCCGGGCATCTCACGCGGCCAGCAGCCGGAGTCCTCTCCTTGGCGTGGGGTCCCTGAAGTAATGAGACGCGGCTTAAAAAACAAGCTTTTAATCAACCTCATAAAAAGTCTTCTTGTGATGGAACTTGAATGGGCCCAGTTGCCCAGTGGGTTGCAGGTGACAGTTTCACATTTCCAGGTTCGGGGGCAGGGGGGTCTCCGGAGGCCAAAGCTGAATGACTGTGTAGATGCTCGGCAGGCCAGGAGGTAGGTGCACAGATGGACCGTGGCCTCGATTTAACGGGTGCTCTGCAGCTCCAGCTGAAGGTACACTTTGAGATATCCCACAGTCAAGTAGGTGCTCCAAGAAAATCAGCCCAGAGGAAAAAGACCCTCACCCCGGAGAGCCCTGTGCCCTTCCTCTCCACCACTGCCACCTTGGAGCAGGACCAGGCTGAGGCAACAAGTGCATTTAAGTTTGCCCTGAAGGGCTGCCCCGTTCAAATCACATCGACAGGCATAGCTTCTGAATTCAGCAGGACATGGAAGAAGCAGGCATGACCTGGTCGAAGCTTTAAATGATCCACCAGCCCCCGGGGTCACCAAGAACTGGTGTTTAATGATGAGGCCTCGAGGGGAAGGGCTACCTTCCACACCGACTGCTTAGCACAAGCCCTTTGCCACAACCTCCTCCCTTCCCCCAAGGGCGGTGTGCAGGGAGATCGGACAGGAGGTACGGATACTAGATAAACATGATGCCGACTTGGAAGGACCAAACTAGAGCACTTGTCCCCTTTTAAAAAAAGATTACAGCAAAGTGATAAGGAAACTGACAGACGTAGCCCCTCAAAACGATAGCCCCAGCGTGCCTGTCTGCCAGCCCCAGCCAGCGCTGCACCAACACTGGCGTTAAACAGTTCAATGCACGCTCCCAGCGAGGGCCCAGAGTGGTTCCCAACAGCGGGGCCCTCTGGGCTGCTCTGAGCTGGCTCCAGCTGCTGTCACTGTCCACTGAGAAAGGCCAAGTGCCCTTTCGTGCATCTGTTGGCGTAGTGTCCTTTCTCGCCACACTGGGAACAGCAGGGAGGGAGGGAGGAGACAGAAAAAAAAACACCATTTTCAAATGCAACTTTCAAGTAAGGTTGCACCCACTGAACACCAGGTTAGGGATGGGACTCTGAAATTCTCAGTGGCACAGACTCATTCAAACACGAAGGAGAAGGAGCTCCAGAGTATAGTGGCCCAGAAGCTGCAGCAACTCGGCAGATGGAAGAACATCTGTGAGCCAGAGGCTGATGTGAGAGCACACGGCAGGGGAGCTCCTGCAGGCTGGGCCCATGTCCGCACGGGCCTGTCCATGGGAGGTCTCACGGTGGGTGGCAGGACGATAAGAATCCCATGGCACCAGACTTCCCCCACCTGCCTGGGTACCAAGCCCCTCTGTGTGGCTGGCCCGTCACTTACCTTTCTGAGGCACTGTTCTGGAGACAGGAGGCAACAACGTGAGAGAAGCCACCAGGCTCCTCCCCCCAACTCATTGTCATGGACACAGTGGGCTGCACCCAGTTTTCCCTCCTGGCTCTTGGACACTTGCCCAAGCTACCCCCCAGATGGGTTTGTTACAGGATCAGAGAGATGGGACAATGGTTAGATTTGGGCAAACAGACCCAGAGCATCACTTCAAAAATCTAGCACGGATTCTGACTTGTCCTGGCTGATTATCCAGGCCCTTCCTTAGCTTCTCTTCATTCATTCTTGTTACTCAGAAAGCAGAAGGGATTTAAAATGTTGAATGGCAGCCTCAAGCACTGAACAGAGGGTCAGGAGGAGACAGGAGGGGGCACCCACTCTGCACTAACCCACCCAGGGCCCTCGCAGTCCTGGCTTCCTCGGCTTAGAATGCTGGGCTCTACCCGGTCCCGGCCCGGATCTCCCACCTGCTGTGTCTCCCAAGCCCACAGGTCCCGTGTTCTCAAGTCTGCCTGATCTGTAGGTGTGACTGTGTGGCTGAATGGTCCGTGGAGCTGCCAGCTGGCCCTTCCCACCAGTGAGAGAAGCAGAGGGAAGGACGAACCAGGCCCCTGCTCACAGCACCTGGCATGTCCATTGGCCTCCACAGCCGATCCTGGAGAACCCAGGATTCCCACGAGGTGCCTGTAAAGCGTGTGTGGTGAGAAGAGGTAGTAGGTTCTAGCTCCACCTAAGTTCAGGATGTAGGAGAGCCTGTTGCAGGGTCCCGGGACGAGAGGGGCGGGGGGCCGGGATGCTAGTGGCACTGCCTCAGAACACCTGCCCATCCTCGTACTGGGTAGTGACTGGTTGGAGGCACAACCCCTTTTTGTACTCTCCTCACCTGGTGGGACTCAGACTCAGAAATCTGTGGCCTTTAGTGGTTTGGGGCCCCTGCCGTCCCCTCCCTGCGGAACACAACCCCCCTCCCACCCAGGAAAGAGTGCGAACACTCTGTTTCAGCTGGGCTGGTCCAGAGCAGGGGCTCGGTGAGTGTCTCATGGCTGTGGGAGTGGCTCAGCCTTCCTGGAGGGAAAGTTCTAGGACCAATTTAAGCTAAGCATACGTCTCCTGACTTGGACCTTCTACTTGTAGGCACGGATGCCGCTATGAGGCAAGAGCTCACAGACCTCTACGTGTCAGATTCAGCACTGGTTTTAGCAGTGGAAACCAAACTGCTACCAGCAGAGGACTGGTAAATTGCAGTTCTGTTAAGGCACCAGTGAGACAGATTAGATTTACGTTTTCCGACAGTATGATCCACAATGTATTATCAAGAAAAAAAAGACTACAGGACATTCTGTATCCCAGGGCCCTATTTATATTAAAATAGACTTTCCTTGCGCTTGTGTGAATATAAAAGTTTGCCACAGCAGTTCTCCACGTGGGATGTGAAGGAGCACCAAAACCCAAAGATTGTGATGACACAGCCCACGGAATCAAGCGGCTGGTTCAGGAAAGGTGGGAATGGGGACAACACTGCTCCCAACATTTCTGTGTCATCTAAACGTTTCTACCAGAAAGGTAACTTTGTATTTTGTCTAATAATCCCCAAATCTGAAGTTTTTCTGGCCTAGTTCTGTTATCAGTTGTTTCTGCTGACTTCCCTCAGTGGTGGCTGTTTCCTTCTAGGTTTTGTGATTTTTAATTACGAACTCATTCTTCAGGACTTAGCTGTGGGAATTATATGTGATTGGGTTGAGAATAAATTTCTTGTAGAGCCAGGCACCAGGGGCCCCCATGTGGGGCTGTTTCAGATTGGAAAACTCAGTTTATAGCTTTCTAGTCCTCACTGGGGTGTGAATACGGCCCCGAGCTCATGAAGGTTCCCCTGGTGACTATAAACTCTCAAGGCACTGACCTCTACCTTTCCTTCCAGAGCTAAGAATGAGACGCTTTCAAATAGGTTTTTTAAAAGTTCACCCATTCCCTGAGGGGTGTGTGTGTATTGGTGGGAGGAGTGCTTTTCTTTCTGCGTGGGTTTAAAGCTTTGTCCCCTTCCCTTGGGGACGCCTTGTAGGATGTGAGGACATCCAGAGGCTTCAGGGCTTACTCCCTTCCCAGGGACATGTGCTTCTACTTTATTACCAGCTTCCCTTTCCTACAAGCTCCGTCCTTTCATCAGCAGCATGTGTGATCATTCACTTGGCCTTAGTGCGTCGTGGAAGGAAGCAGGATGGTCTCTAGCCCACCAGAGTAGCCCATTTTCACTCTTACGGTCCAGAAACAATGACGGTATCATTTTTCAAAATGAACTATGTGGGAAATGAGGGAATGGCCTCGCCCCATCCCCCAGCCCTGGGACTCACCTTGTAACAGGTGACCTGCTCCAGCGGCCGGGGTCCCCGGTTGCCTGCGCTGCTGTTTTGACTCTGCATGACCCCGATGACCTGCGGGGCTCTCTGCTGATTGGGAGAAGAGTTCTGACTCGTTAACTGGATCAAGGAGGACGACCTTTGTAATGGCGGATTGTTACTTTGCTGGAAAGAGTTACACAACACGGTTTTACTGCGGAAAACACGTGCACGCAGACTACCAATGGGGACAGGAAAAAAGAGGGCGGGACTGCTCCCGCATGACCAGCAGGAAGAAGGGCTTCCGTGGCGGCCCCGCTCAGGAGAGCGGGCAGAAAAGAAACATCTGGTGATGATGGCAGGAGCCGCTGCCCGAAAAACACCATGCAGACACACAAAAACGAAAAATAAAAGTAGAAAACAAAACACCAAAGAGACGAGGAGGTCTCTGGGGCAGCAGGGCGAGGGCATGAGCAGGCCTTACTTTTGTTTCTGAGGTTCTAGCTTCAGGTCAGGATGAACGCTTGGTTCAGCCAGATGTTTAGCAGCCTACACGGCGAGCAACAGTCACAGAAAAACAGTTGGAGGCTGACATGCTGACCTGTGGTCTAGGGGCTGAGAGGGCCCTCCACTAGGGAGTCATGTGAGCAAGGGGGACAGGGGCTCCTGGGGTGGGGACTGGATGGCTAGGCCACCTCCCAACCAAGAGGGTTCCTGGCTCTGGACCTCGTAAATACAGGAGCAGTGAGCTAGAAACCCCCAGTTGTCATGGCTGTTGCCACACTCGGGAATTCCTGGCTTTGCGATGGGTTCTATTTGAGTTATCCCACAACCGCCTGAGGGCGGGAGTCAGTGCAAGGAGTCTGGCCGGCCCCATGCCTTCCTGAATTAGCCTGTTAGCACGCAAGGATGGACAGGGCTCTGGCAAAGGGCTCAGAGGTCAACCAAGTAAAAGGTAAGAATTCAAGATCAGTAGACAGCTTTACTCAGCCTGTTGAGACCCTGCTTAGCGTACCTGAACAGCCTTTCTTCTGGGCCCCCCACACTCCACTCCCATAACCAAACCCAGGGTGCCCTTCGTTTTGGTCGGGGGAGGGCGCTGCAGATTCCCACGTGTCTCTGGCATCTCTTCCTTTTATGATTGAGGATCACAAGGGGACCCCCTTGTCTAGGAAGGTGGAGCCAGCTGGTCCTTCATCCCTGTTCCCAGCCCGCCCTCCCTGCCAGGAACCTCCACACGGGGCAGCAAGGACACTGGCACGGGTGGGAGGACCGGTCAGCCCCAGGTCAGCTCGCAGGTGCTCCTGCCCGGCTGTGGGACCTCAAGTGAGGCCCGCCCTCGAGGACTTTGTTTCCCTGTTTATAAAGGGAAGGGCTGGAACCTGAAGCAAGAGCAGCAGACCCATAGCGCTCGTGCTGCCCCCCACTCTGGCTCCCGAGGGGGTGCCGCAGGGCCACTGGCCAGGCCAGAAGGGAAGAGAAGCCCAGGGAGCATTCGGCTCTCGCAGACAGCCCTCCACCTCTAGAGCGAGATGCAGAATTTTCTGCTGGAACTCAGGGTGACTCCCCTCCTGTCCCACCTCCTCCCCTGCCTCTCACATGTCGCCAGCCGGGTGAGTGGCCGACTGTGTGCCAGGGCAGGCACCACTGGGGCCGGGGCACGGTACCTTTGTCGGAGGCTGCGTCTGCTGTGGCAGTGGGGGCTGCTCGGTGGTTCCCATTGGCAGTTCAAATCGAGGGCTGGTCACCCCGCAGCCAGAGGGTATGAGAACAAGGGGAGGAGAAGAGGGGATGAGTGAGGGGCCAGGCCAGGCACTGTTCTCCAACTCTGGCTCTGGGAAATCACAGGCAGCCTCTCTGCCCAGACACAGGGCAAGCCTGGACGTGGGGTGGGTGCTGGCTCTCAGCTCTGTCCCTGAAGCCTTGGGAAAGAGGCGAAACGAATGGACTCGCCTGGACTCAGACCCAGCTCTGCTCATACCTATAGCCATGGGACCCGCAGCAAGTGCTGCCTCCCACAACATGCGCCCTTTTCCCGAGGGTCTAGCTCAGCTGCCAGACCACCGCTAGCAGGACACGCTCCCTGGCTCTCGCCTCGGGAGTGGGACCAAGTGCGCAGCACCCACCCACCTGCCCACGTGTGGCAGTGACCGGGCACCTGTGCTTCTGCGCAGGTGTCACTGGGGTGGATGGAAGCAGCCTGGGGACTGGGGGACACCACTGTTCTGCAGTACCCGGAGAAGTCCGACTCCATAGTCACCCCAAGTGACAGATGTGCATGAAGGCCCATGAGAGGAGCTAAGAGCCCTGCTGGGCGAAGAGAACCCAGCTTCAGGTGCCAGCCCTACCGCCACAAGACCCTGGCCAGTGGCTGAGCCCCGAGCCTCGGTGTTCTCAGGTGTGAAATGGGGACATTCTCTATTCTCTCTGTTCACACACACACACTTGTGGAGAGCTATCTGAACTAGTGTACATGGAATCTCAAGGTTACGGCCTCCACAGAGGAGGCCCCCAAACTGAAGTCTCCTTCCTTTAGGGCCCAGGTTCTTAACCAGAGGTCCCTAACTGACATGCAAGACATGAGCTTTCCTGGACCACGGAGACCAGCTTTCTTCAGATCTATGACCCAGGAAAGGTTAAGTGCTGGCCTACTAGGCAGAGCCACCTCTGAGCTCAGGGAGCAGTAGTGGCCCCCGCCCCAGGCCCAGTTGTGACACCTGCAGTGATCAAAGGCCAGGTGGACACAGGAAAGATCTAGAGGGCAGCAGGGCCTCGGGCAGGAGCAGGGTGGGAGAATAGGGTCTGGCTACTCACTGCATGAATTTACACGAGGGCCCCTCCGGGCAGAATCCCACGAGGTAATTCACACAGATGACTCTCCGTGTGTGCCGGTGCCTGCACAGGGGACCTGCGGAGCCAAGTGTCCAGGACATTCAGACGCCCTGCTTCGGGGGATGCCCTCGTGCCCCTGGGCCAGTCAGAGCCCTGCCCACACCACTGCCTGGGGTGCAGAGAACGACAGCAAGGCCCCAGATGCGGGCTCTGCCTTGTATCCATTCACAGAGGATAGCAGGCAGGGCCCACGACCTCTTCAATGCTAGTTTCCTTATAGAAAATACGGGAGAGAAGGCCGTCCACGCGGGAGGTCTGGGAGGCTCAGGTGACCTGAGGGTGTAAAAAAGCCTCGCTAGCCCCAGACGGAACAGGTGGGACAGGTGGGACAGGTAGAGGGTCGTGTGGGCACAGGAAGAGAGGACTGGCCTCTTGCTGGGGGCCCAGCCACCCGACACCTACCATGCTTGCAGAAGCCACGGTCGTACCAAGGGCAGTCCTTGATCTTGGACTCGGGGTCAATGTGCAGGAAGGGGCACTCCTTGTTGCTGCACTCCCCTGCAGGGAAAGCCAGGTACACATCCATCGGGGCAGCTCAGGGACAGGGGCCTCAGACCCCCCTCAGCTTTTCTCGAGGCTGTGGCCTGCTGTGTGGCAGAGGGTCAGGTGCTTCTCATGTCCCCTCCTGGCCTGACAAGTCCTGAGCCCCAGGGCAGTGTCACAGAGCCATAGTCTCCTGACCTATACGGGGACTGTGTACATGAATTGTACATGGTGCTTCCCTCTCACGTGTCCATGCTGCCTTGAGGGTCAGGGACCCAGAGCCGGGCACAGGGTACACACTCCTCAAATAATTCATGGCTCTACCCCTTACCTAAATGGGGTATCCTGGGCACTGGGGGGGGCCCCAAATGCGCAAAGGCACCAACTGAGTCCAGGAGATGACTGGTCTGCTCTGATCAGCCCTTCGCATCTACGAGCCGGACAGGGGAAGGTCTGAGAATTCTGCTTCTTTCAGGACAAAAGTAGGGAAGACTTGGGAACTCGAGGCTGGATCCCTGGGGTCGAGTGCGATGGAGGCTTTGTGATGACAACTCCTCTCAGGAGCAACTGACCCAGCTGGGGGCTGTGCCATCCCCAGGCTTGCCCTCCCCGACCCATGTTACACATGAAAGGCCAATCTGATCTCTGTTGGTCAGAGGAAATGTACGTACTCCTTCCCAGACATACCAGAAATCGCTGTGAGGTGCAGCCCACCCCTCCCCAGGCTCCCCCTCCCTGGCCATGCTGGCACCCCATCCGGCCCCCCACCTGACCAGCCCCTTCTTAGCCTTCCGATCCCAGCTCTGCTCTCACCCCTCATACAGGCCTTCCCTGACCATTCAGCCTAAAGGACACAATAGTCCTCGTGTGGTCCCATAACTGTCTAGCTCCTTGAGAGCACGTCCTGCAATAATCTCCATCTTTGTCTCACTGGTGTCAGCGGCCTCTTTCCCTGGGCCACTAGGGCAAAAGCACCGCGGGACAAGGACTAGGTCTGTCCTGTTTACTAGGATCCTCACTTGTGTCCCAGGTGAGAGGAGTTGCAGACAGTACCCGCGCACCTGGCGAGGCTCTGTCGGGGGGCGCACCTGAGGCATCGGGGGGCTGCCGGGCCCAGCAGGAATGAAGCAACCCAGACCAGGCTGCAGAGGTGCCCTGAAAGGTCTGTCCAGGAGGGCTGGCTCCTGCTTTTGGGTCCAGATGGGAGATGGCTCCCATGGAAGGGGATGCCCCCTTCCCGTGCTGATTCCAGTATGGGTGAGGCAGGGTTGAGAAGCTATTTCTGACCCTCTGTGCTCTGACTTCATAGCTTACACTACCTCTACAAAAAAAGCCACAAATGTCTTTAATAAACTGGTGGGCCACCCCTGTTGGGCTGCTGGAATAATTAATGTCTCCCGAAGACAGTGCTTTGCAACCGTGCGGCATGCCCAGTACCACCCAGCCCACCGTGGGGAGTAGAGCAGGTGTCCGGCCCCCTGCCAGGCCCCAGCACAAGGCCAGCATCCCAGAGCCAAAGCCCACCCTCATCCTGACCAACAGGGTGGCTTTCTGTGCAACCTGGCTCCCAGCAGAGAGCCAGGGGGTTCAAGTGCCACCAGGGAGCATAACAGCTCTGCTGAGCCCTGGCCCACCCCAGCTTCTCCACGAAGTCCGCTCAGGACAGGAAAGGGCACTCATGTTCTCTACACAGGGATCAAGGCAATCTCAAGGTGAGGAGTGGAGCTCTTTGCCACCAGGAGACAGTCCCCCGCTTACAAACTACGACCTGGGATCACTTTCCCAGAGAGAAAGAACCAACTGAAGCCCCGGGGACAAGGAGTCGCCATGCTGGAAGCAGCAGCTGATTGAGAGGAAAAGGCCACTGGGAGCAGAAAGAAGGCCTCCAGCCAGCTGCACTGTGCACGCACCTGCTACATTACCCCGCACGGTCGCCCAAACTCCCCAAAGTACTGGAAACTAGCGGGCCAGCTGAACTTGGTGGGAACGGCCTAAGGTTCTGAGGCCAGAAAGCTGGGACATGGCAGAAAATGCGGGTACCCGAGCAGCTGCTTCTCCCCTCTGGGCCTCAGATCTGCGTGAAGCCTCCCCGGGGCTCCCAAAGCCGGGCATCTGCTCACCAAACTTGGAGTAGAAGTAGCACTCAGGCATCTTGGTCATGTCGTACTCGTGCAGGAACTCACACTGGTCCCCCTTCTTGCACAGTCCCCGCAGCCAGTGTTTGCACACAACGGTCTTCTCACCGCTGATGTGGCGGAAGGGACACATGCCCCCTGCCGAGGAAGATGGGGTGCTATGAGGAGGGCGGGGCCTGCATCCCACACATCCCTCCAGTACCTGAGAGCGACATGTCCTGGAGGTGGTGGATGCCTCTTGGCGAAAGGCTATGTGATTTCAGGCAGCACAGAGCCACACATCTTAAGTTTTCGTACTTCGTTTACGAAGACCTAACTAAAGGTGGGATTTCACAGACATCTCTAAAGGTGGTGGGGGAATGAGCTCATTTCTTAACTGAATTATAGTTCTAATGATATACGCAGACATGGCAAAAAATTGTAGGGGTAGTAAAGGAAAGGCTGGGGTTTGGGAAACGCAACCCTTTATAAGAAACAAGGTAAAGAGGCCCACGAGCAGAAGCCTGGACTCCGAGCAGGTTTCACCTCTAGTTATGAGTGCCCACTTAGCATCCAAGAATTAAGAAAGAAAATCAACCTTGGAACTGAAGAAACGCACTGTATACAAACTGGGGGAGGTCTTCCTTCTGTAGCAGGACCTGAGCGATCAGCCGCCAGCTGGGACAGAGCCATACCCTTGGAAATTCCTATTTCTAACTTGTGGCTTGGCAGGACCACTGGGAAGGCCCAACCGGAATGAGGTTGTGACTGGGAAAGACCTAGACCAGCCCCTTCTAACAGAACTTTGCAGGGATGCTCTTATATCTATGCTGTCCAATATGGCAGTCCCGGGCCACATGTGTTAACTAACTAGTAGTAGTAGTAAACACAGAGATAAGCCGCAGTGCCCTGTGTTAAGGACAGCTGTCTGACAGAAGGTGGCAGGTGAGAAGGCAGAATTACCAAGTCCAGACATGGGAAGAAGACCAGGGGCCCAGCGGGAGATGATAGTCTAACCAGACAGCCCCGATCAACCTGGCTGATCTGCCCAGCAAGTCTATTCTTTCTGTAGTAAGTGACTGAGTTATAGAACCAAACTTGCCAAAAGCATCCATTAAAACCATTCCCTTGCTCTAATTCTGTGCTCCTTACTCACTGATAAAAATTTAGTTTCCAAATAAATTTGCCTACAGGAAGAAAAATGCCCAGACCTATACATGGCACGTAAGGTCCCGGCAAGCAATCTGTCTCTTTCTGAATTAGTGGATAGTCTGGTTCCAGCAGCCCCTGTTGGAGCCTGGTTAGTATGAACAAGGCTCCCAAGGACAGACTACCGCTGGGTTTTTGATGACATGATACAGAAGATAATGAGCTCGTATAGACTGTAGAAGCAGAAAGGCTTGGGTCCAGACACTGGCTCAGCTACTCACTAACTTTGCAATCTTGAAAAGTTCCTGAACACCTTGGTGCTTGGCCCTTCTGTTCATGTCACAGGTCAGCTTGTGGCCACAGGCTAAGTGAGGTGAGGAGGCAGACTCAGAGTGAGGTTCCGTCCTGTGTTGAAGGTTTCAGGCAGAATACCCCCTCATGTTCCTCGCCTGTGAAGTGCAGTAATTTCATCTAGGGACACAGCTAGTCTTTAGAAAGCAATGCAAGCCAGAGGTCTGCCGGCCTACGAGTCTGCTAGGGGGCAGGGTGGTGGAAAGCACCTTAGGATGAACGTTGGGGAGTCAGGGGTTTCTTACCTTTGCCACAGGCAGCTTTCAAAAAGAATTCACAGACAGCAGCCCCTGACTCTGCAGAAGGAAAGGAGAGGCGTCAAACAAAGTGAAGTGTGCCTGGGGACAGCTGAAGACACGGGGAGGGGACCCTTCTTGCCTTTGACCAATGAAGGGTTCAGGGGCTGGCAAAAAAAAAAAAAAAAAAAAAAGCAAGGCCTGGTAAACACCAAAGCTGCTCATTTCGACACTCACTGCAAAGTGAGACACCGATATTGAGCCCAGTTACTCTGAGAGCCTCCTCTAAGCGAGATGCTTTCAAGGAGTTAGGAGTGGGTGTGGGAAGGATGGGGCACAAATTCACAGAAGTACCCCCAGTTCGGACTTGGATTTTCCAGAGAGCTAACTCACAGGCCCTTTAACATGAGGCAGAAGGAGGGAATGAGCTCACAGGAGACACAATCAATCAAATGGGGACTATGAGGCGGAACAAGCTCCAGAGAAGGGGTGGGCCTCAGAGGAGATGCTATTCCGGAGGGAAGAGCATAATGGAAGGCACAGAGGCACTCTGGCTGCCCGTGATCTAGTTCATAGTGGTGCAACACCAACACAATTATTAAAGGCACAGTCTTCTGCTTCCCCAGAGGCAGCCATGGTATCTGTTAGTGACTCCAGGGGGTAAGCCTTCAAAATGAGCCCAGGAATTCACTCGCCATGACTGCTAGAATAAACCGTCCATGGCTTCACAGTTTTCTCTATCAGTCGGCATGTTAGAGTTACTGAAAATCCACCAACAGCATCTTGGAAAGCCACTTTCATACCTCGCTTTGCTAACTTGCGAGATTCCTTGGCTTCTCGGAAGCAGGCAGATTTTGCTAGGACAGACTAAAGGCTGTCAAGGGGGTATCATCCATTTGCATCTCAAAAAGCTTAAGGCAAAAAGTTGTCACTCATTTGCATTTCAAAAAGTTGAAAAAAGCCTTACATTAAGAAAAGCATCATGGAAGAATATTTCTGGGCTCTTCTCAGAGGCTAACGTTGCTTCATTCCTTGAAGCCAGAAGTCCACAGTCCTGGGGCCTGGGTCTCAGGCAGACAGGTTAAGAGTATGCCTTCAGGGGAGAACTGACACTTCTCCCAAAACTAAGATAACAATGAAGTGCTGCGGCAAAGGAGAAAAGGTTGTGGCCTCCCAGGGCTTTAACACACTGAAGTGGCTTGTGGGCAGAGTGCTGAGGGTGACAATCAAGTCTGAGGTCCAAACTAGGGCAGCACCTGTGGCCAGGCATGTCCTTCACCCTCTTCAGAACAGGTATGTAGGCCCCTCGCTACTCACCTGTCCTCACAGACTCAAGTATGTGCGGTCCCAAGCTGGAGAAAGGTGGGTGGGAAGGAGTTGCCCTGCATGGATGGTTTCATGGCCTCAGGCTAATGCCATCAACACAGGGAAAGGCCACATGGGCAAAGGTGGTCGTGCACGCAAAGGCAGGAAGTGATCACATGTGTCGATGGGCCAGCAGCCGCTTGTAAGATGTGTATTGTAGAGATGCAGGTGGTGTGCGTATAAAATAAGGTTGCCAGAAGTATGTTTCAGGGGTAGAAGCAATATCTTAGAGAGAAGCGTCAGCATGAGTGGGACAACTCAGGTCACATGTGCATGAGAAATGTGGCCACTTGAGGGGAATGAGGCTGCAGGGAGGCTCTTCCAGGCCACGGACACGTGGGAGAACAGGGCCTCTGGCAGTTACGGGACACGGCACAGGAAACTGCAGACTGAACCAGTCAAGAACACTGGAGAGCTCACCTGGCTCCACCACGTACCTAGTTGCCACCAACCAAGTGGTCTCCAGCACGTCCCTTCCCCCGCCCAGGCCTCAGATGCCCCATCTGTGGACTGAACCCAAAGACCTCTAAGCTTTAATGTTATAACATTAGATTCCAAGTATGTCCAGAAAGGAGAGAAGAAAACTGCTAGTTTATTTTAAAGCACTAGACAGCACCTAAGTTGGGGGTGGGGGAGCTATCATCTGAAGGTGGAGAATGAAGGGAGCTCAAACAGCTGCGCAGGTGTGATGAATGGCCCGAACTGGGGTCCAGAGGAAAAGTGAGGGATAGGCTCTCAGGAGTGCACATCCTACAAAGGAGCTTGAGAGTCTAACCGAGAATCTCTGTCGCGGAGAGGGACAGTGGGCCTTCCTCCAGTAAGACTCTTCCAACCGCCCAGTTTTGATGAAAGCAAGAAGAGGGTGCTCAAAGTGGAGGGGTGGGGGTGCTGGAGGTGGAGAGAAGGAATACCTAACTATTTTCTTTTAGTTAGGGGAGGGAAGTAATTTCCAATCCGGGACACCAGCTTTCATTCAAGACTTATATGAACAGCCAGACCTGGTCCTGCCCTCTTGAAGACTGTATTAGAATAGTCCCAGGGGTTCAGAGCTTGGAGAAAGGGGGGCTCCCGAGTCTGAATGGGGGAAGGAGGGTCCCAGGACAGGCGAGGAGTTCCAGGACCGATGGGGAGAAGGTCCCAGGACCCAGGGAGAGGACGTCCCGAACCGAGGGGGAGGGGTCCCGGGGCCGAGTCGGTCGCGCCCCTCGCCCGCGGCCCCGCGCTCACTGTCCATGCCGGGGAAGGGCAGCGGCTGTGCCCCGAGCTGCTGCTCCACTGCGATCTCCAAGTCGAACTTGATGTGGTCCACGCTGGCGATGATTTCCTGCATGGCGGCGGCGGCGGCCACACCGGCCCGACTACTCCTCAGGTCCCTCGCCGCCCTCACACCTCTACCCGCCACCGGCCCCGCCGCACACGGTCCTCCGCCTCGCCTTGCCTCGCCGCCGCCGCCGCCCGAAGGATGCCGGGAGCTCCCGGAGCCCGCGCCGGCCTTTGGCTTGTCCAGACCCGGCCAACAGAGCCGGGAGTACGGGACGCTTCGCTAGGCCAGGCTAGCCGCCAGCCGAATTCCCGCCTCTCCTCGCGGCCCGGGGTAACCCGCCTCCGCGCGCACGGGGCGGGGAGTTCGCGTCTCCGAGTGCGCCTGCGTGAAGTCGGCGGAGGCTCGCGCCTACCAGAAGGTCTTTGGGAAGGAGAGTCTGGTCCGCCGCGCGGTGAGGCTGGAGCGGGAGTGAGGGCCACGCGGCGGGGTGACGCGGAGCGGGACTGGGGGTGACATGGGAGCGGGAGTCCGCACAGGGAGTGTCGCAGCTGGGGTCGGACGTCTAGTGAGACAACCAAGGCTCCAAAGGCCAGTGCGGAGGGGTCGGACTGGCCAGAGCGCCTGGTGGAGCGTCTAGGGAGGGGCGGGTGCCCCAGAGAGGACAGCGGCGGCGCGTCTCTAATTCAGGGGTTATTAGCTTGGGCAGGTTGAGGAACTTGGGTAGAAAGAAAATTGCACCTTTAGTTTTCTCGGTGTGAAATGAGCATTTCCTTCCGTGACTGACAGAGTAGCGTTAAGAGCGCCCTGAATTAAGTCGTGATTTTTTTTTTTTAAGATTTTATTTACTTATTTGTTAGAGAGAGCACAAGCAGGGACAGCCGCGGGCAGAGGGAGAAGCAGGCTCCCCGCTGAGCAAGTAGCGGGTGCGGGACTCGATCGCAGGACCCTGGACTCATACCTCGAGTGGAAGGCAGACGCTTAACCCAATGAGCTACCCAGGCGTCCCTAAGTCGGGTTTCTAATGGTGATGAGTGTAAATTATGGTTAGAGACGGAGTGCCTGTAGCTACCACAAGCTATCATTTAGCTTGTCACTGCTGTGACAGGACGGCAGGATCTTGGTATTAAAGCGTCAAAAAAGCGGCATGTGTACTTGTATCGGAGGTTTTTTTTTTTTTTTTAATGTCTTGACAGTTATTTCAATATCATTGGGGTTTTTTCTTGCAATGCGCTGCATTTCATTTAGTGCACTGAAGCACTTTATCTAGGGGCGCCTGGGTGGCTCAGTGGGTTAAGCCTCTGCCTTGGGCTTAGGTCATGATCCCAGAGTCCTGGGATCAAGCCGCGCATTGGGATCTCTGCTCCGTGGGAAGTCTGTTTTTCCCTCTCTCTTTGCCTGACATTCTGCCTACTTGTGATCTCTGTCTGTCAAAAAATAAAATCCTTTTTTTTTTTTTTTAAAGAAGCACTTTATCTAATGTGGCTACTTGAAAATGTAAAATTAGACCTCTGAAGTGATTGCAGATTGATTAATAAATGAGGCTCAGGAAGGGGAGTAACTTGCTGAGGGTCTTGTAGCAGTTCAGCCGAGTGCAAAGGTGAGACTGGCAGGCTGTGGAACTGGGCTGCCTGTGAACCCAGGTCTGGGGAGCGTATTAGACAGCCTCTGTTGACCAGCACCCTGCTGACATTAGTACAGAGGGCCCTTACCATTGCATATCTGGTGAGGCCTGCCACTCTAACAGAAATATAATATGAGCACATATGTAATTTTACATTTTCTTTCTTTCTTTCTTTCTTTTTTTTTTTTAAGATTTATTAACTTGACAGAGAGCAAGCGGCAGAGAGAGAGGGAGAAGCAGATCCCAGGACCCCAAGATCATGATCTGAGCCTAAGACAGATGCTTAAATGACTGAGCCACCCAGGGGTTCCCTGATATTTATTTTTATTTTTTTAAAGATTTTATTTATTTATTTGACAGAGAGATAGACCACAAGTAGGGAGAGCAGCAGGGAGAGGGAGAAGCTGAGCTCTCCACTACCCAGGTGCCCCCTGATATTTTTTTATTGAAGAGTTTCAAGTATGCAGACCAGGATCTCTAGTGTAGCACTGTCCAGTAGAACTAGAATGCAAGCACATATATGATCTAAAATTTCCAAGTAGCTGCATTAAACAAAGCTTACAAATTGTGAAAACTAATATTAAATTTTTTTTTTAGCCTGGTATACCCAAAATTATCATTTCGATATGTTGAAAGATTATTTTGTTTTTTGTTTGTTTTGTTTTTTTTAAAGGTTTTATTTATTTATTTGACACAGAGACATCACAAGTAGGCAGAGAGGCAGACAGAGGGAGAGGGGGATGTGGGGCTTGATCCCAGGATCCTGAGATCGTGACCTGAGCCGAAGGCAGAGGCTTAACCCACTGAGCCACCCAGGTGCCCCAAGATTATTGTGTTTAATCTACCTTCTTTTTTGGTATGAAATCTTCGAAATCTGGTGTGTGATTTTTACAAAAAGCCTATCTTCATTTAGACTAGACACATTTTAGGTGTTCAGTAGTCGCATGTGGCCAGTAGTTAGTGTATTAACAGCACAATTCTAGCCCGTTTATCCACAAATTTTGCAGAAAAGCCATGCTTGAGTTAACTTCCCTGTACAGAGGCCCAGAATGGTTTTTTTTTTTTAGTAACATATTAAAATAGCTACAATTTTTTAAATACCTGTTAAATGGGAAGTACTAAAAACATCTCATTTGATCTTTATAACCTTGTGGTGAGGTTGGTGGGTTCGTCCTCATCCTGCAGCTGAAGAAATCTAGGCACAGGAAGGTCAAGGAATGGGCCTAGTCACACGGCTCTGGCCAGGAGTCAAACTCAGCTCTAACTTCAGTGCCCGGTCTCCTAGATCATAGCTTGAGAATACCACTAGCTTTCATCTGTTGAGTGGTTTACTTGCCAACACCGTGCCACACTCTGTATTGGAGGCCTCATTCGATCATTGCTACAGTGCTGTGTGGGTATTAGGTCTAGGTAACCCCAGTTCACAGGGCAGGAGACTGACCGTAGTGGCGAGTGCCCAGGGACTCACGGATGGTTCTTTGGCAAAAATGAAATCTGAACCTAGGCATTTCTAGCCTCAGCACTCGGGCTTGTGACCACTTCTCTGTCTTCTTTCTGCCTTTCGGGACTACAGACCCCAGTAGTTTTCATTATGTTTCTGACCTGTGCCAGGCCCTGGAGGAGAAAGCCAGAGATGGACCTTGCGAAGTTGGCCCGGCTCTTCTCTGGACTCCGCCCTGTAGGACTGTCTGCCTTCCAGCACCTTAACCCTCTCAGAGCCACATGCACAGGAGGCAGGGAGGGGCCTGCATGGCTGAGGGCTGCGGGGCTGACTCGACCCTGCAGCAGCTCCCCCTTGCAGCTGCCCCTTGGCCTGGGGAACGGGAAGAACACAAGCAGCCTCAGCTCTGACCTGAGCCAGCCTGACCCCGTGGCCTCTCAGGAGGAAGAGGAAGAGAGCTTTGGGACCCTCTCCAACAAGTACTCCTCGAGGAAAATGTTCCAAAAATCAACAGCCCAGTTGTATAACCTACGGCTCAGGGAACAGAGTGCTGAAGACGAGGAAACGGAGCTGGAGCCAGAGATATGGCGGGGCCGGAGAAACACGCCTTACTGGTACTTCTTCCAGTGCAAACGCCTGATCAGAGAAGGGAAGGTGAGGGAACCTTGGGATTCCTGGTTCGACTTCCCTGGTAGCCCAGTATTTCGGAGGGTCTGCCTTACCTTCCTGATCTCTAAGTATTTGGATGCTCAGGGCTCTTCTGTCTTCATTCACCCCGGGTGCTACGCCAGGCGATCCACCAGCCACCTGACATTTGGGGTTCCCGCTCCTTGTTGCAGTTCTCATGTTAGTACCTTCAGCCCAGCCTTCCTGGTCTGTATATCTAGCTACCTCACCAGCTCCCTTACACTCACCCATACGGGCCTGAAAGTTCAGTTCCCAGCCTTGTTTTCCCTGCACTGTCTTCTTCTCACTAAATGGCGATCCCATCATTCCATCTACTCAGGCCAGAAGCCTTCAGGCCATCCCTAACTCTTCTCTTTCTCTCACCAGTGGGAGCTTCAAAATGTTGCCAGTCCTCACACTTCTTGCAGTGCTACCCCTGGAAGCCCAGGCCTCACTTTATCCTCACCCCCTCAGCTATCATAGTTGCCACTGGGCTCCCTGCTGTCCTTACCCCCTCCTCCCAAGAATGTGCGAAGCACAGAGCCACGCTGTTAAAGCAAATTATGTTACTCTTCCAGGACTCTTCTTCTTCTTTTTTTTTTTTTTTTTAAGATTTTATTTATTTATTTGACAGCAAATAGGCAGAGAGGGAGGGAGAGGGGGAAGCAGGCTTCCCGCTGAGCAGAGAGCCCCATGCAGGTCTCGATCCCAGGACCCTGAGATCATGACCTGAGCCGAAGGCAGAGGCTTAACCCGCTGAGCTACCCAGGCGCCCCCCTTCCAGGACTCTTAATGTGTTCGATGACACTGCTGTTCACTTACCTAGGTGTTGATAACGACATCGCATCTGTGTTCAAAAATCTCTTAGAGGTGTGTGTTGAAGATCTGGGGAATGAATGATGTAATGTCTGGAAATGTGCTTTAAAAAATTAATATTCAGGGTGCCTGAGGGGCTCAGTCAGTGAAGTGTCTGACTCTTGATCTTAGCTCAGGTCTTGATGTCAGGGTTGTGAGTTCGAGCCCCACGTTGGGCTCTAATTTTGGTGTGGAGCCTGGTTAAAAATAAGAAAATTCAGTTTGGAGCAGGAGTACAAGGTATGAATGAACAAGATTGGCCAGATTTTTTTTTTTTTTTTTTTTTTTTAGTTTATTTATTTATTTGACAGAAAGAGAGAGAACACAGGCAGGGGGAGCTGCAAAGGGACTGGGAGAAGCAGGCTGTCCGCAGGGATCCTGACGCGGGGCTTGATCCCAGGACCTTAGGATCATGACCCGAGCTGAAGACAGATGCTTAACCAACTGAGCCACCCAAGCACCCCATGGTCACATGTTAATAACCATTGTAGTTATACTATTTTCTTTACTTTTGTGTACATTTGAACCATTCCATAGTTAAAAGTTGAGAAATAAAGAGAAGCCAAAGCCCTCACAATAGCTTATGAAGCCT